TTGTCCTTATGGCTGGGGGAAACATTCAGTCTTTCAACTTTAGAATGTTAGCCATAATAATGTAACAGATATGTAATGTATCTGGCAGAATAAATTGTTTTATATTCCAAATTTCCTGTAATTTTGTTTTAAAATCAGGAACAACTATTCGATTTTTTCAAATGCTTTTTTTCTGCATCATTTTCTGAAATGATCACATGTCCTTCCCTTGCTCCCCACTTTTTTTCTATTTTTAAGTTTGATCATTTATATTGACTTTTTCTTTTTGGCTATTCAATCAACTACTTGTTATAATTTCCCTTCTGCCTTATGTATTTCTTTTAATACTTCTTGTAGAGCTGCTCCTTGGTAATGAATTTGTTCAGATTTTTTGTTTAAAAATAATTTAACTTTGCTTTAGAAATAAGTTTCTCTGGGTTCAGTTATTTTTCTTTTGGTATTTAAAATTTTTGTTCACTCTCGTTTCCAGTGGAAATCTTAGTCATATTTGTCACTTAGTATGTAACATGTCTTATCCTCTGGCCATTTTTAAGAATATTCTCTTTACCACTGGTTTTGAACAAATATGCCCTGGTCTTGCTTTATTCTGTGTCTAGCTTCTTGAATCTATGAGTACACAGTGTTCATGAAGTTTGTGGAAAATATTCATGAACCGTTGCAGATATTTCTTCTGTCTCCTCTGCTCCCCATTCCTTTAGCAACTCCAGCTATACACATATCAGGGTACTTAAAGTTGTCCCATGGCTCAAAGAATTTCATCTTTTCAAAATTCCCTTCTCCATATTTAAATTTGATTAGTTTATATTGCTTTGTTTTATGGCCCTTCTTTTCTTCTGCAATGTCTAATCAGTCTTTAACCCCACCCAATGTATTTTTCATCTCACACATAGTAGTTTTCAACTCTAGAAGTTAGATTTGAGCTCTGGAGCCTTTGTCTTTCATTTCTCTACTTAACATTAAACAGTTATAATAACTGTTTTAACACATTTGTCTGCTCAATCTAGTATTTGTGTCAAATATGAGCCCAATTTTTTTTTTTAATATTTTCTCCTCTCCTTCATGCAGCAAGTTTATTGAACTCAGTCAGCATTTTCCCTCTCTGCACAACTGCCTAAAAATGCTTTCAGTGCCATAAGCTGAAGCGGTAACAGGCCTCATCTCGATTTTTCTCCTCTCACTGTCACTGTCTTTCATTGTCTGATGTCCAATGACTTCAAAACCATATTTTCCTATATGCCATCTTTTTTTCTTGGTTGTTTCAGTTATTATTTTTATTACTATTCAATTACTTAATAATATGTAAGTAATACATTTAAATATATTTAATAAAAAGGTCTTTCCTATTTTTCTACATAATTGTTTAATAATACTCTTCATTCTATTGTGGGGATCTATATTCTCATCTGGAGTCATAGATCTTGTAGTATAAGCTTTCTGGTAATAACTCTTTCAGCTTTTGTACACCTGAAAAAGTCTTCATTTTGTGTTTGTTTTTAGAAGATATTTTCATGTCTCTTCTCAGAAAATAATCCATCACAGTAACAACAAAGGAAATACAAAATCCATCTGTGATGATTCCAAGAGATCTTTGTGTTCTTGATCAGCAACATATGAAAACAGAAAGCAAATGGTAGAATGGCAGGACGATGGTGGTGATGCCAATGGCATATATGGATCATGTGCATCATGTCAGCACCAGAATCTATCAGAAACTCAACAGGCTCAACAACATATTCTAAGATTATTTCAGAGAGGGTTTAATAAGGATCTTTATACAAAATTGTGGGTAGGGGCCTAGGACAAGGCAATATCCTGGCATTAGTAGGGTTGCTAGCATGGTACACTAGAAGGGTTACCTGAACTCAGATAGGATCTTCTTGAAAAGAGCTGTAACTTCATGTCAAGACAGGCAGCAAGCTCAAGGTCATTCTTCAAGAAGGAAGCTGGGGAATAAACATTTCAATATTCCTCTTTCTCACTGATCAGATGTGAAGATTCCCCTTTAACCAAACACTAGAAACTGCAACATGAGAGCCCATTAAGTACATACAAATCACTCAGGCACATATGTGGAAGGGGCAGTGGGTGTGGAGCAGTAACTGAAGATCTGGGGCACAACACCAGCAATAAGGTTACAGTTATCTTCAGATAAATGAACAACACAAGAAGAAAAATTCAACACATCTATTATAACCCAAACTTAGAGGAGCTGTCTTCACTATCAGGGTAAGGAAATCTCTCTGGCAGAAAACAAATAATAGTAAAAGCAGGGATAAAGAGGAGGTCCCTCCCTGGTGGTGCAGGGGTTAAAGCACAGCACTAGGAAGCTAAAGCCACTTCAGCGTGAGTTCCATCCCCACCCCGGAGGTGATCCACATGGTGCAGCAGACCTCTCCTGACCCATCCGCTGCTCCCCTCAGCAGTTTACTTCATTGATCTGCCTGTTCTGCTCCCCATTCTGTCTCTGGTGAATCCTCATTGACCCTGCACCTCTGGCCTGTACCCCAGTTTTTTTTTTTTTAAAAAGCAGGGATAAAACAATAAGAATATAGGGCCCTCCCTGGTGGCGCAGCGGGTTAAAGCATAGCACTGAGAATCTAAAGCCGCTTCCGCATGAGTTCGATTCCCGCCTGCCCCGGAGGTGACCACATGGCGTGGCAGACCTCTCCTGACCCGCCCGCTGCTCCCCTCAGCAGTGTACTTGGTGGATCTTCCTGTTCTGCTCCCCACTCTGTCTCTGGTAAAGCCTCTCGCCGCCCCTCTGAGCCTCTGGCCTGTACCCCAGTTCTGTATGCACAAATAAATAAATCTTTAAAAAAAAAACAAAAACAATAAGAATATATGGAAACTAATCCAGGAAGTAATGGTCTAAATCCTGGAGGTTCAGATTTTCTCTTCTGGAGTGCCTGAAAGATTAAAACAAAAAAAATTGTGGGGGAAAATGCCAAAGGGGGCGGGGGGAAATCCCATAGGGGGAAAAAAATCCAGATTCTTTGGATTTTTTTCACAGTAGTACTGTGTGAAGAGAAAACCCCTTTAACCCGTGTGCTGAATGACCAAAGGCCATCATTTTGAGAAATGTCCTAACACCATGTGCAAATTTAAAAGTGATTATGAAATAACAATAGTTCTTAATAGTTTCCAAAGTGATCTCACCTAGCTCACTTTTCAAGTAGCCTCAGGGTGCACAGTGTCCTCATTTCAGATAGATATACTGAACAGAACACCTGCAGGAAGACATTTTTCAAACTTTTCACAGATGAGAGAGGAGTTCATTAGTATTTAGTGGTATGATCATGAACATGTATGTGTAAGCAGTTAAGTAGTTCAGAACGAATGTCCAGTTTCCTGGGTGAAATGATCAGCTCTCAAAGGCAAAGAGGATAGATCCTAATTCTGTGCTACTCTCCAAGGTCAGTTGGTGAGTGGCTTCTCTGGGTAGGTCTCTATTGCTGATTGAAGTGTCAACTAAGCCTGCAAGAAGCAGTGACTGTTTTGTAAATTCCTTTGCATCAGGACCTTCTAGGTGTAGTGAGGCAGTCTCCTTTTCTCATTGTGTTCATGTGGGTAAAATTTTAAGTTTTCATGACCTTTTGATTCCTTCTGGTGAGTGAGTTTGGGCTTGAGTCTCCTTCAAATTGCCTTTCAATATTGTAGTTCTAGAACTCTATCAATAAACAATGTTGTATGAATTAGATGAATCATCAGCATCAATGAGAATAGGGTTCAGTGGCTTTTTCTAAAATGCTGAGGAGAGCCAGGCAGGAGAAACAATCCAAGTGAAATTGCATGGTCAGTTGTTCTCTTCATCAAATCTCTCAGAATCCTCAGGCTTTTGGAGAAGTAGTAATAGGTAGACATGAGCAGAATGTAGCGGGAAAGTTGAACAGTTTCATGAAGGCAGTGGATTGCAGTTTCCGCTAACCAGACTTTGTTAGAACAGTATTACTGTAGAGTTTTGCATTCTTAGCAGCTACAGCTGTGCTAGGAATGGAAACTAAAGCAGTCAGTGGTGGTGACCACAACCCTGAAGCTGAAACCACACTCTAATTTTGCACAAAATTGCTAGTTCTGGCTCTTTTCTTTGCTTATGACTTTTCATTTACATGTTAGGATTACACACAGTGGTGTGTAAAATAACATCTTGAAAATAGGCTAAAGAAAACCATTTAGCCCTCAGCAGTTGTACTAACCCACAAAATGTCAGTAATTCATTCTCTAGATGATGACTAGAAATATATCCTCCAGTATCAAAGTCAGCACATTTATCAGAGTAGAAAATGAAGGGAATAACCACAGAGGCATGAAGGAAGGAAGAAAATGAAAGAAAGATGCTAGAGAACAAGAAGTTAATGTTCACTTGATTTGAAAACATTTGGACCTACATTTGTTTATGTGAATATTGTCACTAATCTGGTAATTAACACTGTGCTAAAATAACAGTAAAAGTTTATTATAAAGATGAGACTACTAGCCTTATTGGGCCAACATGCTACTAAGAACTGACCACCGATTACTTAAGTTATTTAACCTACTCTTTGGGAGAATAAAACTAATCATTAATCAAAGAAAATGAACTTAAATTCCACTAAGAGTTCCAAAGTGAAATTTGCCTTTTATCATTTAGCCTCCAGCTGACCAACAGTTACGTATACTGACAGTGGGGTTTAATGCTGTTTTCCTATACACTTAAGACTTACCACTGACTTCATACTTCATATGGATTCAAAATATGAATGCTTAAAAATAAATGAATATATGACTGAGTATAGAGTACACTTGATTAAAAAATAGACCCTAGAAATATGATTTCTGCAAAAGCCTTGAGAGGTAATAAAGCATTTATTTCAACCCTTACCTTATTTTAGGGTGTTTTTAGGTACAACAAGCAAACTTAGAAAAGGATCCTCCAGGAAGATAGTTGAAATTGGACATTTGTAGGGCAAAAACTGTACACGGAAAAGATAACATTTTAATGTAATTTATTTGAAATGCTTCCAGAAAAGTTTAAGGCCATTATACAAAAAAACACTCATTTCTTCAAAATAGCCAATGGCTTTCTTCCCAGAGGTCAACACTTAACAAACCTCTTTCCTTGACACACTGGCCAAAGTAGCAGATGACTCCTACAAAGAACTGTTCACTGTTCTACCATCAAAAAATGGTTCTTGGCTTTCTTCTCCTTTTATCTGTAGCACTTCTTCCAAATTCTTCTTCATTAATCAGCAACAACTTCAGAAACAAAGTAGTTTTAAATAAACTTGTAATAGAAAAAAAATTCACCATATTTAAAATCTATAAATACAGAAATATGTTTTACAGGGTAAAATTGACAATATTTTTTGTTTTTGAAAAATAATATAGCTTGTTTTTATATTGATAAATCTTGTCACACAGCTTCTCTGAATACACATAGTTGATGTACATAATAAAATGAAAACATAGTATTTACTGCTTTTCTTTTTGTAAACTTGAAAGACACAAAAGATTAAAAAAAAACTTTTTGGCAATAATTTAGAATCATTACAACTAGTGCTGGTGTGGTATAATGTTGCACAGGTCATTTTAATATTTACACTCACAGGGAGCTTTTCTGTGTATTCGGTTAATTTGTCTTCTAAGGTCTGCAACCCATCCTGCATGTAAGTCCAGACTGGAGAGAGGTTACTAGTTTGGCTACCTGATCCTAATTAAACACAGGGTTAAGTAAATTGGCCTCTGGAGAACTGTGATTATGATTCTGATCAGCAAGGAATCGGAGGCCACAAACTGGTTACCCCAAAAACAGAGCAGGAAAATGCAAGACTCTGGCCTTCCCTAGAGGCACTGGCCTTTACTTTTTTCTTTTAATCTTTCCCACATAAAGTCATGATGCTGCACTTCTTCCAAATTCTTCTTCTCACGTTTCTGTAAATAGTCACTGACTCAGTCAATCACCTTTCCTCAGCTCTTCACTTATGCTCTAGAAAATAAGTAGGCGCAGAGAGGTGAAACAATGAACGTGGGGCCCTCTTGTTATCCTGTGTAATTTTCCCAGCTCATGGAATTCTAGTCTGATGTTTTAGGCTAGTCAGGCTTTCAAAGGCAAGCCAGCAACTATGACAGAGACCTTTTGATGTGATGCACATTTAAGTTCAAGATTCAGAGCTGGCAGCTGCTTTTGTGCTGGTCCTTTCATGTCCAAATAGACTATTGCATCAATTTGCACTGGATGAAGCTGCAAGGTCAAGACAGAGCTTCTTCCTCTGCAGAATTAAGCCTCCAGAATCCCCAGGATGTTTTCAAGCTTTCTAGTTGGATAACATTGAAACAAGTTCACGCCATGCATGGATCTTTCCTGGTTCTCCTTAAGTGCTATTAAATACACAAGTGACTTCCTTCATGTCTTGTTTGCAAGGCCCTCTAATTTCCAAGCCTTCAGTTACCATGTCAAAGAGCTAGAAAAGCACTGAAGAAGGACTTTTCCAGCAATCTACATGAAACAGTAGTGGAGAGTCTTTTTCTTTTGACTTTTTAAAATCCAGCAGGACAATTGAAAGTAAGTTGTTCAACTAACTCTCCATCCACTCAGACATTTGTGACTACAACACAGGTTAATGGTTGCCACATATTCCAGCTCATAGACAGACTGGCAGTTACAGTACGAGGGACAAAGGTACAGATACAAGAGACTAGCTCAACATGGTCACAAAAGTATTAAAAAGTGCTTCTCCAAACCGTTCCATATGTGGAATGCAAAATACTGTACAGGTAAGACACAAGACTACTTCCAGGAAGTATGCAGGCTTCTGTCAGACATTGCTTTCAATGTGCCTACTGTTCCCACAGGAAGAATCTGTCTGTTCCATGCGCTCACAGTCAAGGCTGACCTCACTCGTGTCCATACTACAGTCTGACTCACTGTCAGATTGGTCCATCTGCTCCAGTTTTGTTTCTCCCTGTGGCTCCCTGATTTCGGTGGTGGGATTTAGGAATGGTCCCTCGGAGTCAAGCCCCCCAACCTGCCCGGAAGCACACAGAATCGTTTCTTTGGCTTGACGAATACAATTGAGCCACTGCTGTTTGTTGAAGGTGTCATTGGCTTGTAGTGAGTGGGTCTGACTTTGGGATCCACTTTTGAAACTTACTCTGAAGAAGTTTTTAACTAGAAATGAAAAACACATGAAAAAAAGTCATTAGACTGGTATTTCTGTAGGCCAATGATAGCATGTGTTGATACTAACTCTGAGGACCTCTGGCAGACATCACTAATTGATTACAAAAGGTATCCCATAGATCCAGGACACTGCTCAGCACATATATATGTATGTATGCATGTATGCATGCATGCATGTATGTATGTATGTATGTATGTATGTATGTATGTATGTATGTGTGTGTATATGTATATACCATTAACCAACCAGAGGAATCTAGCTCTAGCTGCCCTCAGAGCTGGCAAATGGATATTAGTTTGGAACAACTAAATGTTTTTAGGGGCACGAATAGTGGTTACCAATCTTGGCTGGATCTGAAAGTCCCCCAGGAAGCTTATGAAAAATAGGTCCCAGTTTTAGAGATTTGGATTCCACAGGTCTAAGGTGGACCTGTTAATCTATACATTCAACAACTGCCCAAAGTTAGAGCGTTGTCAATTTAAGATTTTTATAACATCAAAACATTCCCATGCCCCACCCGATAGTAGTACCAATGTATATTTAATATCAAATGATTGAGAAGGTACATAAAGACACAGTTATTACAAAATCAGTTTCATTTAAAAATGAAATGACATTTTAATTACCTCAACAAGAACCACATGTGCTACATGCGGAAAAAATGATAGTGTACAATAAGGGAGACATTTTAATGAAGGTAGTAACAACATCATCAAATGGCACTTAATAGGCCCTGCATGCCACTTGCAATGCTCTGTTCACAGAAGCATCTGTTTTCAACCCCTTTGCTCTAATATCCTTATGATCAACAGGCTGGAAACCACCACTTCTGCTAAATTCAAGGGCCACTCTTCTGGACAAGTGCCTACCTCCTTATGTTGCAATTTCATTATTTGTAAAATGGGAGATCCTTCTATGTACAGTTATTATTAGGGACAAATGTTATAATACAGGTAAGTGCTTCTATAATATACGGTATATGGTAAGTATTTAAGAATTGTGTTACTACTACTACTATTACTACTACTATTGCTACTACTACTACCACCACCACTAGGGTGGAAAGACCGATGAGTAGATAAGAGCTGGGACATATTAATTACTTTGACCAGTACCTGACACAGAAAAAATACATGATAGACATTGTTATCTTGACTTCTTTTGGTTGATTCCTTTAGAGAAGCTCATCTAAGTAATTACTAAGGGATCCTCAACTCAGACTACTACTCTTATGTCTCTTTAGAAACAAGTCTGTTAATCACCATTATGCAGCTGGGCATATCTGATACTGAGCTTCCTTTTATCCATTGGAAGGAGACAGAGAAAGGAAGCTTAAGAAGCACCCAGTTAGGAGCAACTTCTTATTTAATTGTCAAAACAATCCCATGAAATTATACTTGTATGTATCCCATTTGCAGATGGGTTAACGGAGGTTTATAAAAATTGAACAAGGTTATGTAATCAGTAAATGATAAGACAGCACTGAAATGCTGTTTGGCTCCAAAGTCTAATTCTTCTCATTTTATCAGTCAGTATGCCCACCATGACCAAAGACATTCAACAGGTCAAAATGGACAGCCATTCATACTTCTCTCATTGTTGCTGAATGCCCCACGTAGGGAGCCTCCCAGCCTCACTTCTCCATCCTGCAGGTCTTCCAGTAGGAGGTCCTTCACAGGAATCGGCTGCCGGTACAACTGGTAGCAGAGCTGCTCATTGTGGGTGACTGCTCGTGTGATCACAAGCACTTCTTGGAACAGAAAAACATGTAGTTTCTGAAAGAGAAGAATCCATAGGATTTCTCTAAGCAATAATCTAACCAGTAGCTGATTAGTGATTGCTGTGGGAAAGAGGTTCATTCTGGATTATGAATTTCCAGATTCAAATCTACCTTAAGGATAATAGAAATTGGGCAGATTGGAGGCATTTCCACATCCAACTTTATTCCACAAGAGTGCCTTCTTAGGGCCCTACTAGAGAAAGCCTTTCTGCAGACAGATGTGCAAACAGGGTGACCAACTCCAGGGGTACTATTTAAACTGCATGTCACAACTTGTGTCCAGACACACACAAATTCCAGCTCTGATAAAAAAAGTGAGAAAGGGGAGCAGAATGAAGAAGATAATGAAGGGGAGGTGAAAACTCTATTTGCCCAGGCTTTGTTTTATATTACCTGATAAAATTCTAAGAGATTAAAATGAAAAATTAGCTATAAAGGTTGAGAATGGTATATAAGGTCTACTATTAATCTGTTATCAAAACCCAGAACACTTGTTCCTTCAACCATAGTTAATTATTAAATTCATCCAGCCACTCCAAAGTCAGAACACTGCCCTCTCTGTAGGAAAACAATGCATGCTGCTATAGATTCAAAGGAAGATGATCCAAGAAGTTGTCCTCCTCAATTAAGTTTATCGGAATTTCAGTTCTCTAGAGAGGTAGCGCTTAACTGATATGTGTGTTGTACACACACACACACAAATTAAAAAATAAAGGCTTGTCTCAAACCTCATCATGAAAGCAGCTGGTAAAGCAGGCTAAATTGAGTCCATTCAAATCCAAATGCCAGTCTATTCTTGCAGTTTGGAAATGTTTAGGATTGAAGTGGAAAAAGTCAGAATTTTATAGCTGGGTCCCAGTTTTCTCATGGATGTCAACCCAAGGGCTCAAAAAGGAGACCAAGAGAACAGGGATAGGTATTCACATAGGGATCTTGATTTGGGGCAAGGTAAGAATATTCACTATTATCAGATAATTTTTGTTTGGAAAGAATCTTGTGGGTCCCCTATCCTTTACCTAATACACATATGTACAGATTCCTAGAAAAACTGAAGTTCAACCAAATATTGGCTGGTAGAAACAAATTATGATGATTCTACATGAGGGGGGTAGTTTGAGGAGATTTTGTTTATAAAGAGATTTAAAGTGCCTTTAAACAGATAAATAAATGGCTAAATAATCAGGGTAAAGGCATTTTTTTCAGGAGAGGGTCATCTTTTTGAAATCACCTTTTGAACTCTCCTATCCTGCTGGTAGGAATGCAAATTGGTCCAACCACTATGGAAAGATTTTGGTTCCTCAGATTACCAAAAATAGAGCTACCATATGACCCAGAAATTCTACTCTCAAAAGACACAAACTTATTAATTCAAAAAGATACCTGCATCCCTATGTTTATTGCAGCATTATTACCAATAGGTAAGATATAAAAACAACCCAAATGGCTAAAAATAGATGACTGAATCAAGAAGATATGGTATATATACACAATGTAATACTATTCAGCAATCAAAAATAAAACTCATGCTATTCACACCAATGTGGATGGAGCTGGAAGGGATTATGCTCAGTGAAATAAGCAAGAAGGAAAAAAGAATGCTGTCAAATGGTTTCACTTATAGGAGGAATATAGGGTGACCAAATAAATGAGGAACAACCACAAATTAAAAAAAAAAAAACCCACACAATTTAGCAGATAACCATAAATCAGAAACATTTTTCAAGGGAGGGAGAGAAAAAGGAATCAAAACAGGGGAGAGAAAAGCACAAGGGACTATGGTGATGGTTCACTTGTGAACTGGTAATGGGAATTTTAAGGAGAATACACTTAAAAGGAGAAAGCACAGAAACATACATTGTATAAAAATGAGCAATGATGTCAAATGACATAAAAAATGTATACATACAAACAAAAAAATTTTAATAAAATCATCTTTTGTTTTCTGATATCAGTGGTAGGAGACAGATGTTAATCTATATTTGCCTCTGAAAGTCATGAGCAAATGAAATAAAAAGTTAGTACCCTGTATTATTTTTCAAAATTATCTCTAAATATATATCTGAATTTATATGTCACATAGAAACTAAAATAGATGTTTATTTGCTTTTGATTCTTTTTCCTTTTCTGTTTTTTTATATTACCTTCTTTTATGTTCTTTATTTCTAAATTGTTTTATGCTTTTGTTTTTTCTCTTTTTAAATAATTTTATTTATTTTTATAAATGTTTATTATATATGCTTTAGAATTAGTATTGTATGTATATAATTGTGTATATCATTATGGATATAGTTGTATACATATGGGACACTGACACACAAGACACTGTAAATGGAATTTTCATCCTGGATAGGGAAGATATAGTTACAAGAGACACAGAATCAAATGGATTAAGTGTTAGGGGAGGCCCAGAATAAGACCCTTGAAGATAAGTAATCACTTACCACACCCCGGTTGTTCTTTAGTTCACCATGACAACACAGTACTCTCGAGTTGTCAATCAGGGAGTCTTTCTGGCCTTCTTCCAAGTAAAGAAGTCGCTCTTTATAATAGCGGCATTCAGATTCTCCTGTCTTGGTGTTGATTTCTGCCACAATTCCCTGAATGATGTTTATCTATGGAAACAAAGAAAAAGTATGGGGAAAGTAAGCAAAACACTCACCAAGTACCAGGGGCTCAACCTAGAAAGTCACCAAGATGCATTTGGATCTAATTCTAAGAGAGTGTTATTGAAGTTTCTGCTTTGGAAAAGGAAAAAACTGTTTTTACAATACTGCTTCTTTTTGTACACATATGCAAATATATGTAGTATGTATAAAAGTCATGTTGATACATAATTTTATATGCGAGGAAGAGACAATAACACAGCCTTTGATGTGTAGGGCTGAAAACTACTGAGCTCCATGCTGTACATTTTTTTTTAAACCATGTTTACAGTGTTGAAAACATAAGCGTATAAAAACTTTGGTAAGGAGGGAAAACAAAGCAGAATGTAGCCAAGAAAAGAGATTTTAAATGAAGTCTAAGGTGTCTATATATCCAATCTAATCTTTTGAATTGGGTGAGAATAAATGGTTTGGCTACTGCTTTAATGACAAAGCATAAATGGCTTATAAAGGACAGAGGATTAGGAATGGAAAGAAAAGACAGGAGTAATAATGGGAACAGTTTATCTACGTACACTCATGCCCTTGCCTATAGCACATATAAATAAATTAGGGGTAGAAAGGTTTCAAAGCAATGGTGGGTAGTGTTAATAGAAAATGAAGCAAAATAAAACAGCAGCAGAGATAGGATCAAGCGACATTTATTCTGATGGGTTGCTATCTTATCACATAATAGGGTCTAAAAACCAGAAAATGCTGGAAAACAAGGAAACTAGAAATTCATTGAGCAAAAGCACAAAGATCCCAATCAAAGTCAAAGTGATAACTTCCTCAGCAGAATAATCTGTCTCCTACTTGTGAAAAGACCAATGTGGCAATGTTAACTGAAAAGAACTCAACAGATGACAAATATTAATAAGGCCTCTTTTTGGTCACATTTGCTTAATAGAAAAACCAAATTCTGAGAAGCAAGAGGCCTTAACTCAGCAGGAAGCTACCAGATCATGTAATACGTTAAAGTGGTAGTAATTCTCTCTAAAATTGTGATTATTTTTCACATGCCAGTGAATAATACTTTCTGCCCAAAGCAGCTGACTAAAAACTTCTACCCAGTTATAGCTTTTACATTTCCACACAAATTTGACAGATCTTACAGGTTTGAATTGAAGTCTGGTGACTCTATTCTGTGGACAGATGCATAATCTGTACATTTTTGTAGATATTAAGAGTTTCAAATTTCGTTTACTAATTCTTTTACTACTTCCCAAACACTACTTTGATACTTAAAAAGCCCACATTATTTTTTTAAAAATACAGGCTTTTTGTGTTAGAAAAGGGCTATTTTGACCTTTGATGTCAATCTAATACTGAATATAAATCTTGTGAAATTAATTTAAATGTTATTGACACATATCAAGTGATAAATAGAACATTAGTATATTTGTTTTCCTCCCCTGTTGGTTTTTAAACATGACTGATTATTTACTGTCTAAAAACAAACAAACAAATATTTCATCAAAATATAATGATGGTTTCACTTATAAGAGGAATGTAGGGGAACCAAATAATGGGTGCAGAAAAACAATAACAACAATAAAAAGCTGTGGCTCATCCTCCAAATTAATTCAACTAACACATGCTGAGAATGTGTTCAGTGTCAGACTGGATGCTGGAATTCTTTTACAGCTCTGAAAAAGCTGAAAAGTATAGGAGAGGTATCTGAGTATCTGGGCAATTGTTTTATAGCTATCTGCCCTTTTAACTTACTACACTTCTAATAGTAGAATTCATACCTTTTTCTTGCTTATAAAAACTGTAGCATTGGATGTTGTGACTCAATTTATCAGTTAGTTATTACTAGGTGAATTTGGGTAGCTTGAATCAACTAGCACTGCAGCTATCCAGGAAACAGAAAGAAAGATGCATGATAGGCATAAAGATGTGTTTACTTCCTAATTTAATTCAGGACTTGGACAGCCGGTGTATCACATGAGATTAATAAACCTAAATGCCACCCTGATCCCCAGGGCAGTTTTCAAATGCTGTGGCTTTCTCTGGTATTTGGAAAAATATAGAGAGTGCCAAAACAATGTAAACAACCGTTGTTATTCCACAGCCTGCATGTACATTTCTACAGTAAGCCTTGGTCTGCTTTCATTTGTTAAAATATTTTTATTTATGGCTGTCTGTATGCCACTCTCTCTGCACTGGTTCTAAGAGTTTATTTTGTAGACTTTCAGGGAGAAAAAGTCACATGTAACAGGTTGCCAATAACAGTTACTGTAGTTGTACATTTGAATTTATTGTATTTCTCATCAGGGTTCAAACCTAAAGGAAACAACTGGTAAAAGGAGATGATGAGATACAGCTGGTAACAGGACAAGGCTTAAGCCCACACATGCTAGAATCGTCATCCTCAAAGTGGTCACTGAAAGCCCTGTCTGTCTCTTCCCTCATGTGGTAATATCATCTATTTGTTGGCTGCTAACATGAACCAAGCACAGCAGCTTTCCCTGTTGCATCAAAAGCATGCCTATTCTTCCCATTGATTGCAGAGGTTTTTCTGTTGTTGCTGCTATTTTTTTAAGGAGTTGGGGGAGGGTGGTAGGCAGAGAAAAGGGATGGTCTAAAAGATATTTTTCTGTCTGAAACAATTCTTGGAATTAAAAATACTCAACATTTTAATTCCAGATTCTATGGAATAACTAACTATCCGAAGTCCTATCTGAAAAAGTTTTCTTTTGGGGAAAACTGTAAATCCTCCAAGATACTATGGAGAAATTCCAATAAAGATGTGAACGCTTAGGTATTGCTTTAAAAGCAAGCCCTTTCTTTAGACTGAGTCCTAGAATTGAATGCTTGGTGGAGAGGTAATTTATTTAGAGTTCTCTGATTTTTTCCCCTCTCTTTTTATAACACATTTTTCAAGGAAGGTCAAAGTCAAACTAAATTTGTAGTATGGGTTTTATGTTTATGAAACATTTACAAAACACCCAACAGTCTAGAGATAAACATTTCTCCTCATCTAGGATAACACTAAAAAAATTTCGAAAAGAAGGAGAGAAATTGCTTTGCTGACATTGTGTAAATGAGTGTCTAGAATATTTCCTTTTGCAGACAATTTCAAATGCAGGTATAACATAATTCACACACAAAAATGTCTAAATACTAGGTGAAAATGGAACTTTGAAAATGGCATCATACCCTATGCACTTAGGGAAAATGGTACATTTTTAATGTTGTAGTTACTTTCTTATCTGTTTTTAAATTCAAGCTAGCTCTCTGAGCTATTTAAACAAAGCAGTATTTGTTCATGCTGCACTTTAAAAAGAAGAAATCTTTACTATAAAACCCAGAGCAGGCTCATGCGCTTCAAAAAAAGTGATTATTTAGACTAGCTGGAGCTCCCTGTTTTCATTCCTGCAGACCACACACTTGTTCAGATGAAATATGGAGAGGAGACAACCCTATTGCAGTCTTCCCAGTAATAAAAAACAGACTTGATGAAGTAAAATGGGCCTCTTCCCTGGTGCCTGCATCCTCCACCCGGTGCTGCATTGGGGGCCTGGTCTGTGTATGCCAGACACTTCCAACATCTCTTGAATCAGGAGTCAGCCCTCATTCCTTTGGATCCTTACCCATGGGCACCTGGCTCAGCTCTGCAACAGTGAGCCTCTCCACCAGCCCTGGAGGTCAGATTGCAACAGGGGCCCAAATAAATGGCCCACTTTTTAGCTTCATATTATCACATCTTAAAGAAGTAGCAAAGGCACAGCATTCACAATCCACACCGATACAATTCAGACATCAACTCCATCACTTGCTGGCTCTAGACATGGGCAAATTATTTGGCACTTCTTAGCTTAATTTGGAAAACAGTCCTAACAAGAAGAGCTATTACCTAGGCTATCGTGAGGATTAAATGAGATACATAACCTGTAAGGCAATCACATAAAGCTGATTCAGTAATAGACTATAAATCTCAGATATTAATGTATTTTGCTGCTTATTATTAAAAAGCAAAACACAACCTCTGGGAGGTGATAGGAAGCTTGCTCAGAAGTTCAAGCCTTCCAATTTTTAAATCATCTATGCACATGTTCCTTCTATTACCGTCCCAGTTCTAGCCAGGGAATGAGCCCTTTAACTGGCCTTTCAGCCTCCATGTGCGCTGTCACCTCCCTGGGCAGGTTTCCAAGGGCCACGCAGCACTCTCCCCAATTGCCTCCTGGCCTTAGTCTGTTTCTCCCCTGTCTCCTGTCCTTACAGACAAGGACAGTAACAGGCCCATGGTTACAAAGCTTGTCAGTGATGCAACTGGGATATGAATCTCAGCTCAGAAAACAGATAACAAAAGCACACAACAAAGAAAAAATGTCTCGAATGGATATTTAAAACCTTCCATAAGCAGATCTGAATTCCTATCCTCTGCCTTCTCTCCCGCTGCCTCTTTAGAGTATTCTCAGAACCAGTCAGACTAACCATGGCATTTCCAGGCATGACTGGTCCTGCATTTTTTCATCTTTTCATTTTTTCATTTGGATCAGTCTATTTATTCCTCCTGACCTGCCATCTTTTCTGTGTGTCGTGCTAAGCACCCCAATTGGAACTGAGTTCTCTGGGCAGAAGATTCATCACTTACAATATTTGTGATAAGGACCTATTTTCTCTGATCTTTTGCTGTCAGGGACGAATCAATACTTCTTCATACTCAATAAACAACTAGAGAAGATCAACTAGACCCACACTGCAATTGGGAGCTAGGGTAGATGATCCCTAAATGGGTTCCAACTTCACAAAAGGATTTTGCTTTTCTCAAAGGTAATTCCCACTTGGTACTAAACAAAGATATTCAATTTAAAATCTCCACGGGGGGGGGGGCCTCTCTTGTGGTGCAAGGGGTTAAAGCACAGCACTATGAAGTTATCTGCAGCCACTGCAGCACAAGTTCTATCCCTGGCCAAGGAGGTGATCCACACGGCACAGCAAACCCTCCTGTCTTGCCCAGTGCTCCCTCAGCAGTGTATTTCGTTCAGTCTGCCTGTTCTGTTTCCCACTCTATCTCTGGTGAATCCTCCCACCCCTCCCCACTCCATACCTCTGGCCTGTACCCCAGTTCTTGAATGCTTAAATAAACAAGCAAACCTTTAAAAAACAAAACAAAACTTCACAGAGATCTTAGCCCTCACAGCAACTGTAACTATCAGATTAGAGTGCCACCTATACAGAATCAAGACATTTTGGAATCAAATGGACCTTAGTGTACACCTCACGCAAATTATGTTCCATTGTTAAGAAACTGAGGCAGGGAGATAAGTGACTTGCAAAATCAAAATGTGGCAGAGTCTAACCTGGAACCCAGGATTCCTATGTCCCAGTAACATTTTCTCAATCATTTAGCCATTATGGGGGTAGGGGTGGGAGAGAATGAAATTTAAAGAGGAAAAGAAAAAACTTACAGCTTCTTCCAGGTGCTGCTGATCTGGATTATCATTTGGTGTGTGCCTCAAAATTTCTCGAAGCAACAGAGGGTATTTTACCAAACGGCTTCTTGGAATATCAAGGAAATTCCAGAGGTCTAGTTTGCGGCTAAAGGGGGATTCTAAACATCGCTGCAGGAAATCTTGGACTCGGTGATCTTGTTTTTTGTGGTCCAGCAGAGCTTTGGCGGCTACTTGATTGCTGCAGTAGCTATCGTAGGAGCTGAGACAAGGCAGCTATGAAAGAACATTGAAATAGAGTTGAAGTATTAACATGACTGAAATGACAAGCTAACATTACTCACTGGGACCAGACACTTAATGGCTGTCTCTGGGCCTGGCCAACATTCCTTTAACTGCATGGCTGGAAAAGACAGAACAGAATCTTCAAAATGGAAGGCAATTTACAGATTTTTAGGCTCTGGCTTGCTTGTTTGCACCAAGTACTTTACTTAGCTCACACCTACTTCTTTGATTGTTAATAGCCCTATTGTAACTTCAACTTGAAAAAAAATTGAAATCAATGCAAGTGCATAGAGTTCAGAATTTTCCTGAACTTTCATAAGTATTTGGTAAAAAGAAAGTCTCTTATTATTAAGGAAAAAGTGACCTTTTAAGATTATTCATTTAAAAGTCATCTAGAAGACTTGGTGGCACAAAAAGAATGTAAGGAGTAGAATTCACTGTCTTGCCCTCTGCACAGCTGATGCAAGCCCACCTATACTGTAGTTTAAGGTTACCTGATTCCAAGGAAGCCTAATGATAAAAAACCATAAGATGTTAAAGCAAAAGTTTAATCAGTAATAAGTTAGATGCAGAAAGCATTTAGAAAAATCTTTTAAATTCTTTTTTACAGGCCAGGAGTGATTCTTGGCAGAAGCTAACATCACAATGCTATATAAAGAACAACTGAAGTTAAAAACTTTGGAACACTTCAATTCTACTATCTTCCTTCTAGCAAAACACCAACTTCTCTCACATATACCATCAGTCACTTTGTGCAAACAAAGTCAGATATTCGGAAAAGGACAGCTAATTTTCCTTTCCCACTCTTCTCTAAGGTATCCCAGACTTGGCATTCTAGCTCATAAGCTTTCAGCTTCCAGAAAGTTACAAAGGCAACAGGAACAGCTAGTGCCTCACTATGTTTGCTTCTTCACAATGCCTGGTCTACAAGGGGAAACAGTACAAGACAGCAGCAGAAGGCTTTCATTTTTACATTCTCATATAGTCAATGTTTGTAGTCAAAAGGAGCAAACAAACAAATGTTTAATGGATTACCAGGTTAGGTGATATTTGATGGTTTGGGAACATGGCTTGAAAATAAATGTGGCAGCAGCATCTGAACAATAGGTTAAAGTATGAAAGTTCTGCTGCTTCTTTTACAACTCTAACTGAAATTATTTTCTCAGTGACTGAAACAAAAAAAGATGGTACAGAAATAAAATTTAAGAAGTTCACTGGTTAGTTTAATATTCCTTGGAAATGCTACCTTCCTTACATGTTATTAAAAAACAAACAAACCCCTATTTGTGTTAAAAGGAGTTGCAGAAGTTCTTGCCTCAATCTTATATTTTAAAATAATGATAACTGTTACCTCTACATAACACTCCCCCAGAAGTAAAACCACTGCTTGTAATTTAGAGTTTCAGAGTTAATTAAAAGGAGCCTCAGGCACTAGTAGTCTCATTTCCACTTCAACATCTTTTAAAAAGACCTGAAAATGCCTAGTGTTTTCATTGTGGAGAAACAAATCAGCAGTAACCATCGGATATAAATTATCAAGGGACCCTGACCACACTGTTGCTTGCTGTCCAATGGACCATTGCGCTCTCTGATCCTGCCACCTCCAATGCCATAGCAACCAAATCCGGTGGCCATCCTGTGTTCATACCTGATAGGATGCTCATTTCCTGAGCATGACCTGAAAGCTACCTGGCTTAGTTCACTGGCTAGAAAGAAGCTATCAGTTGTACAGACCTAGATGGGGTATGAAGACTCTACATATTTGGGTTCCCAAAACATACAAACTCCCTTATAAGATGTGAGAGGTGACAATGCATTGGTTAAGAGGACAAATTCTAGAAGGAGGGATGATTATATTCAAAGCCTAACTTGGACAGTTGCTCATGAGATGATCCTTCTAAGCCTGGTTTCCTCCACTTAGAAAATCGTATATAAACATCCCCTTATCTTAAGTAAAATCTGGTAGATGAAAAGTATAGCATAGAGCTTGGCACCTGGCTAACAATCAGTTAAGTACTGGCTATTATTGTTTATTTCTAGAATATATATTTTTTAAAGTTTTATTTATTTGTGCATACAGAACTGGGGTACAGGCCAGAGGCTCAGGGGCGGCAAGAGGCTTCACCAGAGACAAAGTGGGGAGTAGAACAGGCAGATCGATGAAGTACACTGCTGAGGGGAGCAGCAGGCGGGTCAGGAGAGGTCTGCCACGCCATGTGGTCACCTCTGGGGCAGGCGGGAATCGAACTCATACGGAAGTGGCTTTAGCTTCTTAGTGCTGTGCTTTAACGCGCTGTGCCACCAGGGAGGGCCACTCTAGGATATTTTATTGAGAAAAAACATGGAAGAAGTAAAAGTACTTGCTCAGCTGGAAACAAATACAGTCTGAAGCAAGTTTTCTCTCCATAATCCTGAACTGCCCAATATCTCCTTAAATAGACTATCAAGAATTCCTAAGGGAAAGGCCTTTACTTTTTAAAGAAATTCTTTTATCTTCCTGACATTGTGAAAAGCAATAGAATAAGTCTATTGTTTTTGTTGCTTTCATGTACCTGGAATTAAAATTTAATTAAAATCCAAATTAACATGAGAACTTGCTGCCTTGGAGGACTTGTATTTTTTTATGAAAAACATTTAGCCTAAAGAATTTACTAGGGAAATTTTGTTTCTTTATGACAAGGGTCCTTGAGCCATTGACAGGCTTATCCTCAGTGATCATGGTGGTTCCCTAAAAAACAAAAACAAAAAGCTTACCTCACTGTTTCAGGTCTTCAAAGTAAAAGTAATTGATTTTTTCTGAGGTTAAAAGAATCAGTTAGGGCTGTCCCATTTGGGAGACTCACTTGTTTAAGAGGGCTTTTATCCCCCTTTCTTCACTTTTTTTGGAGGGGAGGTGCAAATAAATCAATTTTTCATGGGTCAAATAGGCTTTAACTTTTCTCATTCAAAGCTCACTAAGATGTTTATTTTGTTCTGTTAAAAATACCAGAACTCAAACAGATGTACTCTTTGGTTTACAGTTCCCACTCGCAAGAACACATCTGCAGTTAAAAGAGGGAAAACATTTAACAGCTCATCAGCCCTGAGAAATAAAGGCCATTTCTCATGAGGTTTGCTAACAATGAACCAGTTGTTTAATTTGAGGCTGCTCTTCAGCTGCAGGTCCCTTAAGGATCCAGACAGCAATGGACCAGCACAGTCACACTTCACTTGGGTATGAGCAGAAAAGGACTGCAAAAGCCACCCTCAGATCAAATTAATTTCTAATAAAAGTGGCATTTATTTAAAAATAAAAAGAATAGCAAGGCAAATGCCTACATATTTGTTTCTGGAATGAACTGACAGTCTCTATGCAGTGTCTAAGGAAACCATGTAGTTCTTCGTTGCCATCTTGCTAAAAAGCAGAGCAGACAGCACACTAACTCTGGAGTGTGACCTCACTGGACCTTTTTCTCCCATCAAAGCAATAGGCTCAGGACATTTAAGAAATACCAAAACAGACCCTGTCTCTCACACATTCTCTGTCTCTAGCTGGTTGACTCACTGAGAAATTTCTTTTTTGGCTAAGAAGTTGAAACATCTAACGCCAGTTCATAATAAAATTAAAGTCCAAATTACAAGATGAGTGATCTCTCCTAAAATATTAAGGCTCACTTTCTAAATTATTTATCTTAGAACATTACTTGCCTTCTAATACCCCTGGGATATTTCAGTCTCAGTGCTAAAAATTGACCCTGAACTAAAGCTGTCTAAATCATGAAGTCTCTTGATGATCAAAGTAACTGAGAAGCACAAGTTAAGAGGCAAGAGTCAAAGCTTAGGTACTGGGAGGCTTCAGGACAGTTGAAATACAAATGCAACTGGATAAGGAGAACTCACAAGGGTTTTATTTATAACCTTCATTAACACCCTCCAGTGAGATGACTCTAGGACTTAACGTTGCCGCACTTGCCTTATTTTCTGGATCATTGCGTGGAAAGGAGGAAGGAGAGACCTAATTCTGCTTGGAAAAAATAATCAAAGTAGTCTGTATTAACTGCTTCATGACAAATGAAACACTTGATTCTGGGGTGGAACATTCAGCACTTATAGACAGAAACTGGGCAATAGGGAGTAGTGTAGACTAAGGCAAGCAAAGTACAAATCTTGTCTAAAGTACATTGACCAAATGAACAATGCCTTATGCAACCCACTAAGACACAAATTCAGTCCCAGGGTCATATATTTAGACATTCTGTGTTTAGTTAGGAAAGAGCATGAATAAGTCATATTGGAATAAAGCTTAGTATAATACCCAACTCTCCTAAAAAGTAATTTAGGATTAAATATTTGCTAAATGTAGTAATAGTTTCCATATGTACTTTTACTTATTTTATATAGCAAAAGGTCATGATATCTGTTTTTAAATAATGTTTATTTTTACATCATTTTGTGCCTTTTTCCATCTCAGTTGTTGATATGTTATCTTTAAATGTAGTAAATCTTTAATAAGAAAAAAGCTGTTTCGGCCCTCGCGGGTGGTGCAGAGGGTTAAAGCACATCAGTGAGAAGCTAAAGCCACTTCCGCATGAGTTCGATTCCCGCCTGCCCCGGAGGTGACCACATGGCGTGGCAGACCTCTCCTGGCCTGCCTACTGCTCCCCTCAGCAGTGTGCTTTGTCGATCTGCCTGTTCTGCTCCCCACTCTGTCTCTGGTGAAGCCTCTCGCCACCCCTGAGCCTCTGGCCTGTACCCCAGTCCTGTATGCACAAATAAATAAATCTTTAAAAAAAAAAAAAAGAATAAAGCTATTTCATGCTTTGAAGGGGTGAACTCTAAAAATAATGAAACATTTTACCAGGATTTGCTATTTAAACATTTTCTGGTGTGAAACCAATGCTTGTCATTTAAAGGAAAGTCTAGCTAAAATGAAACTAATTAATAATAAAAAGGAGTCTAGTTAAAATGAAACTCCACCTGAATTACTGAATTTTATCATCAATCAAAATCTGAGAACTTTTCTTACCCAGCCAACAAGGATGGGACCAACATATTCAGTTGAGCCATCAGGCTTCCGAACATCTCGAAGCTGACTAAGGAGTTCTGGAAACAAAAACAAAACCAAAAATGCTCATTCTGTTAGGCATTCAGATATGAACTAGAAGAAGTTCCTGGGTTACTCACATGATTACATAATCATGACTTGTTATAAGACAGCTCAAATTAAGGCTACAAGTCACGACTCATCTAGGAACAAAATTATACCTTCATGTAGAGGAATTAGAGAGTCCAGTGTTCCAAAAATTTGATTCAATTCTTGTTCTGTCATTATGGAGAGTTTCAGCATGGGGTCATGATAGGCCTGCAGAAGGGAAAGAGATGGGAAGCAAACATTTAAAATCATAGGAAGTAAATGTAATGGCTACCGAGAGGTCCTACACAATAACAAACTATTCAGTTCTCCCCAGCAACTGCCCTTGCGCTCTGCAGGAACAGCAGATGGGTGTGACTGGAGTAAATGAGAATCCAGCATTGACTTGCACTGTGATTGCTGATAAGTCAAAGCAGTTTTTTTTAAGACTTTTTTAATATTAGTATAGCATACACCTAGGAAAGGGCACAAATCCTATATTTAGATGAGATTTGATTTGTATATATTTTAAATTAACTTTATAGAAGATACTGCAGCTTTTTACAATTCCCACTTTATGCAAAATTAGTTACAGTTCTTTTTCACTTAGTCCATTTTTAAATTAAGAAAAGAAAAAGTGGCTGGCATCCTTTATAATTGATTTCAAGTAAAGAGAGGAAAATCTCTGCCAATCTTACCATTTTTTAATGAGAAACTTCTCAGGGCACTATAACAGAATACAGATTCAGTTGGTACAATCCTGCTCTCAAGGAGTTTTACAAAACTAACTGGGAAAATGAGAGAAACTCATGGAAATTTAAGTCAATGTTTAAAAAAAAATAGCTCAAGGAGACATCTCATATGACAGCCAAATTTATCAAATCATTACTTCTCTGGGGGTAAGAAAATTGAAGCTGCTGTGGTCAAGGGAGATTTTAGAGAAAAACTGCTGGGCAATAAATATCACTAAAGAATGAATTGAGATTTCAGTTTGCTCCTAAAGGATGGCTGGAAAAAAAAAGTTTCCAGGAAGCTAGGTCCACTAGAAGCAAAAGGATAGCAGTAAATCATCTTAGGTTTGGGAAATCTTGATGAAGGAAGGAGGATCTGGATATATGACCAGGGAGATATCCTCTTTATCTTCCTCCTCCTCCATTCCTGAAAACAAACTGCTCTCTTGGATATGCCTGAGCAAAACTTGGGGGGCCATTAGTTCACAAATGCTGCAGATGGGACTTCATATTAGCAGAAAGTTGAGCTAAGTGTTCACTCCTAAAGATGGGAGGCATCTTTCTAACTCTTCTGGTTCTTGGAGGAGGTTGTGAAGATCAGATGAGTCTAGATTTTAGCTTTTGGGGGGGTCACTATACTGGAAAGATTTTTGAGGAAGGCTTGCTGTCACAACTATATGGGTACAAGTCATGGGTTTCCTCTTCTTTCCCATGCATTATGTGATCAAAACAAACATGTTTCCATCAAAAATCTTTAAGCTAGCATGCCTCACTCAACAGCTTTACTTGTGAGACTCCAGTGACTATTTCTAAGCCACCTTTCAGGTGCAGTTTCAGACATTCTTACCTTCTCTACTCTGGCTTAAGGAGGCTCTGCATGTGAGACTCTAGGATAACAAACACTTTGATTAAATTGAGGTGTTCTTTGAGGTGCATTGAAAACATGCAGGGGAGAGCACCTCAATGTGCCAGGTTCAGGGAGTCTTCTTGTTTGGAGCCATTTTCTCCACTGCTAGGGTTGTGAAGCTTCTCAATTATCTGAGCCATAAAGAAAGTGCTCACAGAGCACAATCTTACAGTTGTGAAATTACTCAGAGGAAAAAAAATATGAGGGACTCAAATTGTCTGCTGGATTTGGATTTACCTTTTTTGCTAATTTCAAGTCCTCTATCAGGTCTTCTTCTCCTTGGGAAAGTTCAAAGATTGCCTGCCAGGAAAAAGAAAATACAGTCAGTAATGTATTTTCATTTATGAAATCATATTCAAAGGGTGTTGGTTGCTGCTCTCAAAGCCCCAAATCTCCTTATTTCTTAAATCTTTTAAAGGAGTCTTAAAACATCAAATTAACCTGCAACAAATGTACCTAGCAGCTAAAATCCACAAAGGAAAGGTTCCTGCAAGACATCTATAAAACATGCATATCTCTTTGTGGGAGGAAGAGGTTTTCTACCTACATTTCCAATCCAACAAGTCACCTTTCATGGTACACAGGTTTAATGCAGCCAGATGAGAGGAACTATTTTAGTTAAAGTAAGTAGGGCTTGAGTCATGGATTCCACATCTCTGTTGAGAGTAGAAATCATAATAAATGACTGGGTCTGTTCTCAGTGGTGGACATGGCAGGATTATTAATTTGACTATCTCAATTTGTCGTCCTTTCATTCAATAAAAGGTGAAGCTCAACAGAAAGCTTTATTCCTATCAGCCACTATCTTGAGGTGGGAAGAATCCAATTATTTTATCACTCTGTCTGGCAAAGTTCATTCATTCTAAATTACTTCCACCCTATATATACAATAAATAAAATTATAGGAGCTAACCATGTGTAAGAGCATGTAAATATACTGCTGCTAATTTGGCTGCATGAGACCATCATAATTTAAGAGGTATAAAAGGCAAAACAATCTCTTACTCTCATCTGGTAGTTGAACTGTCAGCAACATGGCTTTAAGATTATTATTTTTTCTTATTGTTTTATTTATAGATTCTGCATCTTTGTGTTTTCCCCATAAAATTCCCATCACTGGTTCACCCATGAATTTTCACCACAGTCTCTTGTGCTCACCTCTCCATTTTGATCCCTTTTCCTCCCCATCCCTTGCAGAATGTCTCTGACTTACCATTGCCTGCTAATTTTGTTGTTTTCATTATTACTGCTTTTTTTCCCTCCTGATTCCTTATTTGCTTACCCTATATTCCACCTATAAGTGAAACCATTCAAGATTTTTCTTTTTCCTTCTGGCTTATTTCACTGAGCACGACCCCTTCTAACTCCATCCATGAATAACATGACATTATCAAAAGACTACATATTTGTGGGATTATTGCATTCTTTCAGACTAGAGGGAAGAAGTGAGCAGGCTTGGCGAACACCCTCCATTTCTGGATGGGCAGAGAACAGGGCAGTGAGTGTGTGCTCAGGCAAAGTGGGTGGGGAAAGATGGTGCTGGGGCCAGCTCCATGGTGACCCTCACCCCTTCACAGGCCCAGTAAAACCAACTCGTCATTCCCTCCTGGTACTGTATTACAGTTAACCTTTTATTTTGAAATAACTATGGACTCACATAAGAAGTTACAAAAATAGTAGAGGGGTCCTGTGTACCTGTTTATTACAGCCTGCCCTAAGGGCAGAATGTTACATCACTCTAGTGCAGAATCAAAATCAGGAAGTGGATTGTCACAGTAGTCTTTCCTTGTATCTCTGTTTTATTAGTGCTCTCTTACATAAGTATCTTACTGTCTAACTGACCATATGTGACCCCCTAGGAGAGGAAAGTCATAGAACTTCACACAGAATACTCCATAGTCATGTGCTTGTGGGGGTAGCATAATGCTACTGTGGGGGTTCAAATCCCAGCTCTCAAACTTTCTAGGTGGGTGATCTTATGCTCCCTGTAAATCAATAGTCTCATCTGCAGAGCTAGTCCTTCCTGCCTCCCTTTCTTTCCACTATCAGATTGGACAATTTACATGTGGACACTATTGACATTTGGGACACCACAGAAAAGTATAAAGAAAAAAAAATGTTAACCATAATGTTACTTTGCTGCCCATTAAGGTTTTACTATATTTCTTCACCAAATATTTTCATATATACATGTTGTTTTTATTAATTTTTAGATAACAGTACATTGGCATAGTTAAAAATTTATAGTACAGGACAGGTATGTGATGGAAAATTTCTCGTCTCATCTTCTTCCAGCCACCTAGCTCCCCTCCCATGAGGCAACAACATTAGTAGTTCCTTATATGCTTCTCCAGAAATATTTGATGGTTCTATAAACAAATACATATTCACTTTTGCTTCTTCCATATAAATGGTAGCCCATACCTCATCTTGTGCTGTATTTTATCCACTAGTCATAAATACATCGGCACTTCTTATGTTTCTATGGTTACATAGTGTTTGTTCCATGTATGGACACTTCGAACCAGTCCCTGGTAATAGATTTCCAAGCTCTTTACGCATTATCATTTACCTACATTGTGATGAATAACCTTGCACATAATCCTATCATTTGTGTGCAAGTCATCCTGGAAGACAAATCCTATAAAAGAACTAAGTCAAAAACCAAAAGAATTTTCAAGTACCCCTTTTGCCAATGTCAAAGTTCTTCACACAAAAAAAGATATTCCAAGGATCTTACAAGATGCACATATGAAGTTCTTTGCTCAAACTGGCACATTACAAGCTCTCTATAAAGGACAGTATCACTGTTTGTAGGGTTGTTAATACAGAGTGTATAGAATACAGGAAATTAACAGCATTCTATAGAAAAGGAGTTTGCCACATGACTGAATCAAAATTTCATAAATGGCATATTTTAGAATATTCTCTAAGCTGTTAACTGAAGTGATTATTTTTGTGAACTCCAGAATCTTACATGGACAGTTCTTCATTCATCTTCTTTGTAAATTCCAATTTTCACTATTTCTTTCTAAGGTGGGGGCCGAACCTACCCAGATGGATGCTGGTTTCTCAAATTGGCCCACAAAGTCTGATTGCATTTGTAGTCCTACAAATGCAATGAAGAATTGCTTGGAGGCTGTGGGACAGACCTCAGCTTGGCTCTTGTCTGTAGCACCTGACAGCAGACACATGCTGACTCTGTGAGTCCAGAACTTACCTCTTGACGTTTGATTTCTTTGGATGTAAGCATCTGATTGACGCACACGTCAAAGGTCTCACTCCACAGCTTGCTATCTCTCCGCTTGGTGCTTGACGAGGCTGCATTTCTGGACCAGGGTCGGGGGGTGAGGATGTCAGGCCGGCTCTCACTACGGAAGCTAATAGAGCGCTAAACAATGAGAAAAAAAATAAACTGTCACAGGGGCAACAGCAGTGCTGGGTGGACCACTTGAGCAGCTTCCTGCCACTGACAGCACATAAATCAGACATTCACAAGAAAAAGAGGACAATGCCACAGGCCTTTGGACACTGTCCTGGGTCTACGTGCTAAGAAAAAGTGGGCAAGGGAACACCTTCACACACATTGGGGGTGTATCCGTTCTGTAAGAACGGGTCGCCAGCTTCAGAATCCCTCTACTAAACTCATGCACTAAGACACTCCCAGAGGACACTTTTCTGATTTAGAAGAGTAAGGGCTGACAGTAATGGATGTTTTGTTTGTTTGCTTGATTTCTGTAAATCTGGCCAGTGCTCCTGCTCTCCTCTTTCTAGGAACAGAATCCCAAGATCCTTGGGTACCCTGGACCCTGGGTTTAAGGTGACTCCCTCATATCTAATCAGAGTACTCCATCCTGATTGAGGGAGGGGCACATGATTCCCTGAAATCTGCTGCAGATTCATGGGTAAGAGATTGAAATTCTTTATTTCTTTGGGGCTTTGGGTTCAAGAGATAATGTAAGAGGGAGGGTTCTTCTAACAAATGTCTCTGGTCACAAAGAAGAGTGTCTGCAACAGGAGAGAATAAAGGGACACAAAATGAAGGAGAAATGAATGAATGAATGTTTTACCAGCATTGCTTAAGCTCTGGGTCCCACTGTGCCTAAAGCAGGCAGAGCCCTCTTACACTAACAGGTGTATACATATCCATTTCTGTTTACATCGATCTGCTTGAGGTTCTGTTAACTTGGAAAGTATAAATATATATACTAAACACTTCCTTAATAGTAAATGATGCCTATCTCTGAGGTAGTTTCTTATTTTCCAAAAAGGTCCTACTAGACTTTGGGGGGTGATCTAACCATGAGAAAAGCACTGTGGCTAAAACATGCTACCACCGTGTTTTCTCATGGCAAGTACAAATAGTGAAGAAGAAATCTGAATGTATCATCTTAGCCTTCATCCTAGAAGGTTTCTACGAATTTATAGGAAAACTGGACAAATCAACAAGGTAGTACTGTGCTAAAAAGTCACATTCTACCATATCTGTGGCCTTCAGGGCGAATTTCCCACTCATTCTGGTACAGAAGACCTCTTGTAATCTGATCACATTCTTTATATCTAGGGTAACTTCCTGCTACTCACCCAGAGCCTCCTATTATCTAGCCCTACTAGTATATCAGCTATTCCTTAATGTGTCATGCTTTTCTATCGTTCTGTGCTTCCTTCAATGTAGTCTTCTCGTCCTAGAATGGCTTTTGCATTTCCTGGCAAGATAACTTCTAGCTCTCCTTGGAATACAACTCAAATCCTCTTCTACGAGGCTTTTGCCAATTTTCTCCCACCTTATCCCAGGGCAATTTGAACATATTTCTGATAAAGCAATGATCATGTTTTAAAATTGTACTTATTGGTCACTTGTTCTTTCTCTCTGAGGGCAAGAATGATTTTACAAGTAACATTATGAATCATCATCATGTAGACATTTGAAGGTAGCTTCCAAATATTTTGAGATACAACAACAAAATTTAAGAATGTAAAATTTAAGAGAACACAACAAGGGCATTGTTAAATAATGGCTTGGTGAACTATATCATGAAGAATCAATTTCTGTGATAATTTGAACAGCTAAAAGCTCCTATATAAAATAAAATCAGGATTAAAATCGATATATGAACAATGTTTAAAATTATGAAAAAACATGAGCAACATATACAGGAAACAAAATTTTTTTTTTCTGGTGATGATGTTATAGGTGTTTCTTAGTTTGCAAATAATTTTTAACTATACCAAAACAAAATGAATAAATGAAAAATGTAAGAAGAAACTTCCAAGAGGCTTAAGAGCATTATCTTAACTTTTTGGAAGCAGGAAGAGTTCTGTTTGCAAGCAGCAACATGGCTGTTCAGGTTGGCTCAGGCATCCCTGCATTCCCAGCCTCATAAATTAGTCGTGATCATGGGACCAGCCATGTGCTGGTCAAGAAAGTACTTGCACCAAATACAGTTCATTAATGGAATCTCGCAAATCCTTGTGATCTTTCAAAAACAGGCCCTTATAAACAGTGACCAGACTAATGCTTGCACTCAGAATCAATTAGCCACAGGCAGAGAAAGGTCAAAACAAGCAAGTGAGTCATCAAGTAACTCACTCTTCTCAGTGTGCAGTCTGATGCCAGCCAAGGGCCCGAGTTAAAGAGCAAAAAAAGAGGAAAACATAAAAAAGAATACTCAAAATAAAAGGCATCTACCACTTTCACTTGAGAGAATCCATCACTCATCTTGTTGCATTTTCAGTCCCTGACCAATTCTGAAACACTACCTCCCGCCAAACCAGCTTTAAAGTAATTTATACTAATTTTAAATTTTCATACATTGTAGAAGTATATAAAATTAAGTACAAGTCTTAGTTTCCCAAATCCACTTCCCCATAAATGTGATTAAGTTTGTTCAAGATCTTTCAAAATTTTATCCATGCACTTGCTATCAATCACAGAAAAATGAAGTATTTTCTTTTTTCACTTAACGTGTCTATGTTAGTATATAAAACTCACTATTTAAAAAAGTATATATTGAGGTAAAACTCATATAACATAAGTTGACCATTTTTAAAATTATTCAGTGACTTTTAGTATATTCACAGTGTTCTTTGACCACTATCTCTATCTAGTTCCAAGACATTTCCATCAGCCCAAAGTCAGTCTTTTTAACAGCTATAGAGTTAGTATCCCACAATCTAGATGGTCCACATTATTTAATTAGATCCAGCTGATGGATGTACGTATTTCTTGTCTGGATGTTATAAAAAGTGCCTCAGACAATATCCATTATGTGTTCGTGCTGGCATTTCTGTAAGGCAGGACCCTTAAGTAGAATGCATTGCTGTAATGAGTTATCAACATGTTCATGTTTGATATATCCTGCCAAACTGACACCAAACAGTCTGCTCACATTCCCAGCAAGGTATATGATTGTACACTTTTCCACACTCTCATCAACATCCTATAGATTCAATTTTATGTGCTAAATATGAGATTGAATATATTTTTACATATTTATTTTAAAATTTCCCATAGAGATTTTTCTTCTCCTTGGAAAAAAACAGAGGTTAGTTACAGTAGGTGAGTTCTGCCATTAAATAGATATATAAATTAATAAATTTAATTTAAAAAATTAATGTGTCAGTTTGTGTTTCCTTAGTGATGCTGGGCTCTGGGTACTCAGGGGAAGGCATGGGGATGAAACTCACCTGGCATATTACAGGAGGCTCTGTTATGTGTCCACCCAAGTTTAGTACTTGCAGTGAATGCTCTCCTTCCTCACAACTACCTTTTGGTGCAGCCTGCCAAGTTTATTTCCACCTTACTGATGAGGAAACTGAGGCTCAGGCAGGCTAGACACTTGCCCTAGGCAGTGTCAAATCAGATCTGATTGACTCCAAAACCTAAGCTTTTCCTACTATGGGGGTTGAACCTCATGCTTACATGAAAATTACACATTGTGGTGTAGGTTTCAGTAAGATGGGTTTTAGCTCTTGCCCTCTAGGAATTTAAATCTACCAAAGAAGAAAGGATGCATTTGTTTGCTTTTAGGGATAATGACCAGGTAGCTCTTTATTTTTCATGAACAATGAAACTTCCAAACTTATACCTTTTGTTAGGCTCGATTAAACCATGCATTTTTTCCTCCCCACTCAGAAGTGGGGAGGAGTTTGAGAGGAAGAATAAAGAAAGGCATGCTGTCAGCAGCTGACTGGCCCTGTGGCAGTCATGGACAGCCAGGTCCAAGTCCTAGGCAGGTGTTCACAGTGGCACTGACCATACACCATGACCTCCACCCCTTCCAGTCATCAGTACAAGGAAACACAATTAGATGAGAGGGCTGGAGTTAGGGAGCAACACGTGATTACTGCTAGAAGGAAAAAACCCAGAGAGGAGGATGTTGTTCAAGAAAGGAGAACAGCTGCGTCCCTTTCACTGCCCACACACCCTCAATTTAGTCTTCTCTATTTTTACTTACTTGGCATATGGTAACATTTACTGGTTTGTTTCAGAAGGTAAGTGCCTTGAAGGCAAGGGTAGCTAGATGCTCAGTTCATCAGCAACTGGCACACAGTAGGACCTCAGCAACTTCGCTTGATGAATGAGTGGCATGTTTGTGTGAGTGGGGCACCATGAATGGAGCTCTGCTAGACCCACAAGGTCAAGATTTCTGCTCTGTCTTACAGACACGGAAACTTGATGCTCAGAATGGATGACATTTTGCTAAAGGTCACACAGCTGATCAATGCTGCTGCAGGCCAAAGGTAAACTCAGAACCCCACCCGACCCCCCATTTTATACCAAGTAACTGACCCCTTCTCTCTAAGGGTAAGATTCAAAATGAGGTGGGGCACTAATACAAAAGTGTCAGGCTACTTCTTGGTCTATGGCAGGGTTTTTAACCTGGCTGCCATTAGTATTTTGGACTAAAAGTTCTTTATTGTGAGGGGCTGTCCTATGCATTAGGAGATTTAGTAATATCCTTAACTCTATGTCAGGTGTGCCCCCATCCCAGTTGTGACAAAACAACTCCAGGTAGCACCAAATGTCTCCTGTATAAGAAAGTCTGGTCCATGGTGAGGAGAGGCTCACCTCAAAGTGAGGGACTCCTCCCCACCCTGGAAATGCATAAAAACTGGAACATGTACATAGCTTCTTTAGGTGTGGGAGTTTTGGGCTCGGAATGAAACATGTCCCAGGGCAAGTGAGTTTCTAGAGGCAATCTGACAAATGAGTCAAAAACGTAAAGCTTGTAATTATGGGCAGCTACAATAACAAAGGCTGAGATAATGCAGATTTAGGAAATGGTTGCCTACATTTGTGCCTGAGATGAATATATGGAAAAGACGCTGCAAAGGGCACTGTCAGGCGGGAAAATGGGCCGCTTTACAGGTGTCAGAGGAAATGCAAGC